TGGGGTCAACTATGGGTAGGTGGCAGAGCCCTGGGCTGGTGGTGGTGAAGGATCAACATTTCAATCTCAAATCTGTCATGGGCTATCTATGAGACCTTGTGCAAGCTGCTTAGCTGTAAGTCTCTGTCACTCTATCAATAAGTGGGATGGCAATCCCTATCCTATGAACCGTGAGTTGGGAAATGAATGTGAAGTGCTTAGCGGAAGGCCTGGCCCACAGGGAGTTCTCAAGTTTACATGTATCACACACTGACTTCCTATACCACCCAGCTGGCATTCAGCCCAAGGACCCAGTTTGGGAAGGAAGATAGAGGAGGGAATAAGGGGAGTTATGGTTGATCAGCATCATCAGGAGAGATTGGGGGGACCAACTCTGGGCCATCAGAACAGAGTCACAGTGATTACTTGAATAGGCACTGAGTCAGAGGACCCAAGTCCACATTGCCTCCCTCATTAGCTCTGATATCCTGGCCATACGCTTAACATTTTAAACCTCAATGTCCCCATTGTATGATGCGGGTAACTACAGCCTCTCTTGTATAAGGTTGCTGTGAAGATGAAATGAGGATAGGTAGGCAGAACGTCTGGATCATAGCCAGCCTTTGATGAATATTCCTAGCATCCAGAGTCCTATCAGACAGTGGTGCTTCAGCTCCTCCCTGGAGATCGCCAGCTGCGACTGCCAGGCAGCCAGCTCCCTCTTCCCCCCACTGGGCCCACTTCCCTCCATGCCTGGCCTGTGGGGCCTGTGACAGCCATGGAGACTCAGGAGTGACAAAGTCCCTGTCCAGAGAGCCAATTCCTCTCCTCCCCACTAATGAGCAAATGAGCCGGAAGCCCAATGGTTCTGTTGGAAGGACTCTGTTCAGTTGATTCTACTTGCTCAGCTTGAAGGCTGGCCAGGGATTATGCACAAACAGCCTGCTTGGAAAGGTACCACCAGTCTGGAAGTAGGCAGAAGCCAGTCGCAGGGAGAGCACTGGACAGTGAGTCAGGGTTCTGGGTTCCAGGCCCTGCTCTGCCACTTACCAGCCACATGTTTCAAGGCCAAGAATGTCACCTCTAGGATCTGTTTCCTTATGTGTGCAGTGAGAGCATCTCTGTATAACTCCTAGAATTCCCAGGGTTCTACAGGGTCACATGAATTAGCAGGTGCATAAGTGCTTTGAAAATGGAGACCTGCTGGGGGGCTCAGGTGGAGAGGATACAGGGGTGTATCCCCAGGATGGCTGGATGTTCCAGGTCCTGGAAGTCTTCATCTGGAAGGGACTGACCTTTCTGTCCTTCAGCCTGACATTGAGCTGACCTCTAGGATTTCTCACCACCTTTCTCTCTGGCCGTTCTGCAGACCCATCTTCTCTCCGGAACCACAAATATGCACCAGGCTTTGGCCTCTAGGCATTTGCTCAGGTACTTCCCCCCACCCCCACCCCCACTTGCAGAAATCCAGAATCCTCTGATTCCCCAAAGGGATGTACTCTCTGTGACCAGAGCATTTTGTTGGGACCTCTCTTGGAGCATTGGTGACATTCCAGTTTCTGTTCAGTTTATGTAAGTCTTTAACCTCTTTCTAAAGATAGCCATGGAAAGGACCATCTCTCATTGTGAGTATATGTGTTGTGTGTGTGTATAGTCAAGCACGCGTGTGTGACAAATTGTGTATTATAAATATAGTGATACAGTGGAAAGAATATGGGTTTTAATGTCCAAGAGATATGGATTCCAATCCTGGCTCTGCCACTTTAATCAGTTTATTCGACCCTATCTATTGATGCTTACTTGGAGTGACCTTGAGCAAATCATAGACCTTTCTGGGTCTTGGCTCTTTCACTTGTCAAAATGGAATCAAGATATTTACGCTGGAGGGTTGCGACAAGGATTCCCAGTGACGTCTGCATGTGCCTGCCTCTACGCAGAGCTATATTAAACCGTCTAAAGGGATGAAATTCAGTTCTGTTTTTGAGCCCTCCCTCGGGGCCCAGTTACAGTATTTAATGACTCACGTTAACGCTGTCATGAACTTCTCTCCAGCCCAGAGAAGCATGACACGCAGATCTGGCCACAGTGCAGCCCCTGGAGAGCACACTCCAGGCCCTGGCACCTCGTCTTCCCTGATTAGGCGGGCCAGATTCTGGAGTCCTTTCACAAGAGGCAGTGGAGATTCTGTGTCAAGGTCCGGACAGGAATAGGCATCTCCCTTCCTTGGTGAGTATGACCTCACTGCTGGTGCCTGGGGCCACGTTGAAACCTGTGCTCAGTGAGGCCCAGCCTGGCTGAAGCCAAGGGGGCTGGGAACTGGTCACTATGGAGGTCAGCCCTCCCATAGCCCCACTGGACGCAAGAAACATTGTTCACAGCCAGAAGAAAATGAGCTCTGTTCTTTAGGAAACTGAGTTAAAATATCCTGAGCATCTTTCTGGCATTTTAACCTTTCAATGTTGCCTTTAAGAATTCAGAAGGCAAGTGACCTTCAAAATGATGAGAGTGTGTGTGTATGCACACATGTGTGCACGTTCACTGGTGTATTGCTGTTATACCCGGTTACCTGGTCACTGACATCATTTTGACGTTGCAAAGTTGAGATACTTTCAAGTTCCCGACCAAGGTCACCCACTTGAGAAGGTGAACAAGGACCTCTGGAATGTGCAGAAAGGGCTGATCTACGGAGCTAGTGGTGCTGGCTTCATCCCTTACCAACTCTGCCGCTTAGTCTCTTTGAGCCTCAGTGTCCTTATCTCTAAAATGTGGACAACAAGAAGCTCTCCTTTTTGTCATTGTTGCAGGGATGAAATAAAGTGTGCTAACGTTTGGACGTGTTTTGTAAACTCCAGCGTGCTGTGAGAGAATTAGTTAACACTCTGCATGGTGCTCCCCACACACACTCTTGACCCTTCAGCGAGGGCCTCTGGGCCAGAACATCAGGCCACTGTTGGAGGGTGTGCCCAGGTGAAGAGTAGGCATCCGGGTGGCCCACCTGCCCACTTCTCACAGAGTGCGCTCCTCAGACATGGTCATGGACCATGACTCTTGGTCATCAGAGTCACCTAAGGAGCCCACTAAGAGTGTAGATCCCCAGACCTGCTGATTTGGAAACCCCAGAAATATGACCCAGAGTCTAAATCTTTAACTAGCACCAAAGTGTGAGAATCGTGGATCCAATGGTGCCCCCAGAAATGGATTAGTTGATTCATTTACTCACAAACGGTATGTGGGTACCTATCTCATGCCAGGGGCTATTTGTGGGGTCAAAGTCTTTGGGAGCAGGGGAGATGCAGAGGTGAACACCTCACTCTGATGTCACATATCAAGTATCTAATGAACACATGTATCCAACCCTGAATTCTGCAGGCCACAGGAGGGGGCCAAGCACCGAGGAGATTGCTGGCGTTCAGTTCTGTTTCCTCCTCTTAGAGGCAAAGCTCTGCACACACATCATCTTATTCACTGCTCATCAGAGCTCTGATGGTAAAGAAGGAAAATGAGGCTCAGCGGGGTTCAGTAACTTGCCCAGCGTCCTGGAAAGTCAGCGGTGTGTTGGTAAATGATCAATCACAGACTTTCAGGGTGAGGGAGGGAGCCGTGATGCACACACTTTTCCCACAGGGTCTGGATAAAAGGACAGAGGGCCATGGTCTCTGGGAACTTTCCTGAGGGGAGGCTGAGATCCTGCGTGCCCAGAGTCCCTGGGGTTACCACCAAGCCACGGCAGCCACCATCTACCTTTGTTCTGAAGAGCTTCAGCATGTTATGTCATTCAGGTCCCACATAAACTGGAACTTGCTGCCTGCCCAGACCCAGGGCAGAGGGCATGCAGCTGGCACACGGCAGCAGCTGCAACTCGGGCCGAGAATGCTGAGTATTAGCCACACCAGGGCTCTGCTGAGACTGGCTGTGGACAGGCAGGCCTGCCCAACTGTGAGCGCTCAGGGTCAGATAAAGGCCTCTCCAGGCTCCTGACATGCCCAGGGGATGTCACGGCAAGCCTCAGTGTCCCCCCAGCAGGGTTCCTCTTGATGAGAATGCTGCTGAAGCTCTGGCTGAAGGGTGACAGGAAGAGGGCATGGTGAACCGAGTGCCCCCAGGAGTGCAGCAGCTGCCCTGGAGCCAGGCCCTGGGACATACAGGATGGAGAGATGGGATTCCTTCCTCTCTCAGCAAAAGGAGCCTGCCTGAGCTCCCTCAGCTCAGCCCAGAGAGGGAGGAGCCGCTGCCCTGGGAAGCTCAGCCAGGACAGGGGAGCAGGACCTCCATGTCAAGGTCTGGCGGGGCTGGTGCTTAGGCTGGGACAGGCGGCACTGAGGCGTGAAGGTGCTCAGGCAGCTCTCCCCTTCTCAGACAGACTTCCTTGACTCAGCCTGTCTTTGACACACATAGGGAAGGACTGGAAGGGGGAGGGGGAGCTACAAGGAGCCAATCATCCTACACCGGGGCCTTCAGGGCTGGTTCTCTCCGAGTGTGTGTGAGTGTGAGTGTGTGTGTGTGTGTGTGTGCGCGCGCGCGCGCGCGCCCGTGCACCAGCGGGGATTTCTGTGATAGAAGCAGCCAGATTCCGGAGAGAGAGAGAGAGAAGAGGAGGGGGAAGAACAAGAGGAGAGGAGAAAATTGGGGGTGGGAGAGACAGACGGAGAGAACAGCAGTGGGAGAGAGAAGCACAGCAGGGGAGAGAGAGGGAGAAAGAGAGAAAGTGGAGGGGAGAGCAGGAAGGGAGGGCGAGCGAGAGCAAGCAGAGAAAGGGGAGGAAGAGAAAGCGAGGGAGCAGGAGGGTGCGCGGCGCGGAGACAGAGCTTAGAGGGATGGGGTGAGGGCAGGAGGAAGCAGAGGCAGAGCGGGGGCCGCGGGCGCCTGCCACCCAGCATCCGAGGGCGCTGCCAGTTCAGCGGCGCACCTGGGCGCTTGCCCGGAAGGTGGCGCGGGGCTCCGGGGTGGCTGTGCGCCCTCCGGGAAGCCATGGCGGCAGGGGCCAGGGGTCGCCGGGCGACGGGCTTCGCCATGGCGGCGCCGGGTTGCGGGCCCTGAGCGCGGGCGGCGGGCGCGCACCATGAACTCGTGGGACGCGGGTCTGGCGGGGCTGCTGGTGGGCACGATGGGCGTCTCGCTGCTGTCCAACGCGCTGGTGCTGCTCTGCCTCCTGCACAGCGCCGACATCCGCCGCCAGGCGCCGGCGCTCTTCACCCTCAACCTCACGTGCGGCAACCTGCTGTGCACCGTGGTCAACATGCCGCTCACGCTGGCCGGCGTCGTGGCGCAGCGGCAGCCGGCCGGGGACCGCCTGTGCCGCCTGGCCGCCTTCCTCGACACCTTCCTGGCCGCCAACTCCATGCTCAGCATGGCCGCGCTCAGCATCGACCGCTGGGTGGCCGTGGTCTTCCCGCTGAGCTACCGCGCCAAGATGCGCCTCCGCGACGCTGCGCTCATGGTGGCTTACACGTGGCTGCACGCGCTCACCTTCCCCGCTGCCGCGCTCGCCCTGTCCTGGCTCGGCTTCCACCAGCTGTACGCGTCCTGCACGCTGTGCAGCCGGCGGCCGGACGAGCGCCTGCGCTTCGCCGTCTTCACGGGCGCCTTCCACGCGCTCAGCTTCCTGCTCTCCTTCGTCGTGCTCTGCTGCACATACCTCAAGGTGCTCAAGGTGGCCCGCTTCCACTGCAAGCGCATCGACGTGATCACCATGCAGACGCTCGTGCTGCTCGTGGACATCCACCCCAGGTGAGGGGAGCCCCAGGTGAGGGCTCTGGAAGGGCTGCAGGGGAATCGGGGGCAGGAGGGGGGTCTTTGTCAGTGGAAGGGGTCCTTGTCTCCCCCAAGCTCCAGTGTGCAGCCTTGGGCAAACCGCTTTTCCACTGAGCCTCCATTCCCTTTTCGGACAACTGAGGTGGGAGAGGGGCCAATGCTGCTGGTCTTAAGACAGGTGCTTAAAGCATCAGCAAAGCAGGGCCACCAAAAATGTGAGTGAAACAATGTACCTGTTCTTTGAAGCATCAGAGTAGAAATCACAGAGAGTCGAACTTTGTTGGACTTCTTATGCTTATTTTGTGTGTTTGTAGTTTTCACCTTATGTAGCGTATGGGAAGGCAGTGATCTCTGTTCACTGCTTACCACCTTTAAAAGGTTTTAATCAGGCCCTGAGAGCCTGGCCTAGATGCTTACAGAGCTCCTTAAGAGGTCTCCAAGCAAACGTGCTGCTCCTCTGGGTCTTGCCTTTCTCCAGTGTCTGTGCTGTCTCTGATCCTGCTCCAGTGTGTATGTGAGTTTGTGGGCTGCGCCTTCCTCTGTGGCTCCTTAAAGGAGCATCCGAAGGGCTCTGAGGGGAGGAGGGCCTCTTCCTGCCCTTCCCAGACAGCACTGGCCGCTGTCTCCTGGACTTGGAGCCCGGAGGGCCCTGCAGAGGGAGAGTGTCACCCCTGAGGCTCCCGGGACAAAACCTGCCCACTTACCTCCACCCTCACCTGGCCGCTGTTCCTCAGGAAGGCAGTTCCGGTGCAGATACCCCTCTGGGAACTCCTGCCGTCCCCTGGCGCCTCTCAGAGAGAGGAGAAGCTCTTTGCTAAGGTGTCCTGAGCTCACCTCGGCTTTCCTTACAAGAAGAGGAAAGCGAGGAGGGAAACGGCTGGTGAGGTCTTTGTGGACTCTGCTGTTTTATATCCCATTGTCCCAGGGAAGGGCAGGCTCCTCCTCTGTTGCCCAGAACTCTAGATCAGGGGGCTTTGGCATCCGCACGGCACCGGACAGGGCTTGGTCCCTAGGGTGAGAATCTCCCCTCCCCCAGGGAGATGCACGCTCACGGCTGAGGGGGGCAGAGCAAAGGTGTCAGTCTGAGCAAGGGCTCTTTCAATTCTGAGTTTTTCCTGTCTGAGCGACAAAAAGAAAAGTCCTTGAACTTCGCTGTGTCTGCACATAGAAGGACATGCGTATGTGTATTCATTGTTCCCCCTGAGAACAGCCCTTCCTGATTACGTGCTGGACCAAAGCTGTTAGTCACGGACTCTTTCTCGCAGAATCGCTTACAATATGTGCACATAAATGACTGATAGCACACAGATGCCCCAGCATATGAACCCATGCGTGTAAAGGTGTCTGCTTCACACACAATCTCAAGTGTTCACATATCAACTGCATGTGTAGCAGACAGATCACCACACTTGCACATGTCGCAGGGGTGGCGTGCATACACACGTGCTAACTCACTGCGTGTGTCCCTGCAGGGTCCATCGTCATTTTAGGGAATATTCTGCAGCCATAACCGCAGAGCTATTCCCCTTCCCATCACCCAGGGTCGGAGGACCTCCCTTCAGAAGGCGCATCCCCAGGATGGACTGAGACTGCTCGAGAAGCTGTAGGCAATGTTGTTTAACTCCCGGGACTTGAGTGATTCCTATAGTGGGCTCTCTCACTGGAAGTCGAACAGTGGAGGAGTGATTGAGCTGAGAAAGGAATCAGTTCTTATTTAGACCAGTACAAACTCCATTCCTGCTCTTCCTCCAACTCCCAGAACAAGAGGGGTGGTGGCTCGTTTTCAGCCTATTTAGGGTGTAAGGCGGGCTCCACTCTTGCCAATCTCTCACTGACTCCATGCCAGACGCTGCAGAGAGAGTTCCCAGAGGTCTCAGGAGCAGAGGCAGCTGCTCTGCTGGCCTGCAGTCCCCTCTTTTCTCCTCCACTCCCCTCTGGGGGGACCTTGATCTCTTCTAAGCCCCAGAATGCTTTGAGGATCCCCTGCTCCCAGTGCCGCCGGTCCCTGCAGGGCCAAAGAGCAGCATCAGTCTGCAGTGGGGAGAGGAAGGGCTTCTGGGGCGAGGATTGCCCTCAGCCAGTTCAGACGGGCCCCAATGGCCCAAGGCTGGCCTGAGGTTATGGAATAGTGGGCAGATGCGACAGCACTGCCCCTTCAGTGAACATGACCTGCCTTTCTCTGTGGGGTCGGTCCCAGAGTGATAGGGTGGGCGATGGGCCACACAGGAAGGGACCAGCTCCCTGATAGCTGATCCACAGGCTTCTTTTTGGCGGCTCCAAACTCTTCTTTCCCACAAATGAGAAGCTGCAGAGCTAGTTCGGAGGGGCTGCCCCTAGGAGCCCCAAGTCTTAGGCACTAAGGCTGCAGGAAGATCATCGAGCCTCCAGAGCCAGTTTGGTGCTGAGAGCTGGGGTCCCCTGGGAGTGCCAGTTCCGGATCAGCAGAAGCCAGGCTTCCTTATCTGGACAGCCAGGGTGGCCAGTGGAATCTTTTTTCGCTGGGAGTTTTAACAGCCACCACATTAATAGTCTCCTGGGACTTAATTAAAAGGGACCCATTTTAAGTTCCCTGAGGCCCAAGGTGGCGTCTGTCAGGAAGCTCCCTGCTGGTGCCTGCTCTTCTCACAGTGTTTAACATGGCAAGTGGCAGGCTGGACTCCTTTGCTGCAATACCACCCAGAGATCAGATCAGAGACGTTCCCCAGTCCTGCTTTCTGCAGTGGTTTCTGGAGTTACTACATTCATAAAGCAATTTGGAATTCTTAATATTTATTACCCACCTGGTCCTGCAATTGCTCGGTTTGCTTGGTTCAGTTCTCCCAAACCACTGCTCCGGACCAGTTACAGCCAGATCCTTTCCTGGTGCCGCCAGTGACTTGGGGTCTCAACTGATGTGGAGACACAGGTAGGGAGCCGGGGCATTGGTGTGGCAGCCTGCTCTCCCAGTCCAGTGGAGGGTCCCGCTCACCGGCACAGGTTAATGACTTCACAGGGTAGCGTGCGGGGAAAGCATACTAATCCTTGAAAGCGAGGTCTTCTGAGGGTGTCAGAACTGTGACATTGTAGATGGAGGGATCCATAGAGATAACCTCCTCGTGCCCCTGATTTTACAGATGAGGAAACTGGGAGACGCAGGGAAGGGGGCACTTGCTGAATTTAACAGATCTAGAATGTGGCTCAAGCCAAGACTCACACCCGGGTGGGCCCCTGAGATTTGTGGATGGGGCAATAGTGCAGATGGAGGCTCACACACCGTCTATATAAATATTTAGAAGTTCTAAATTAATCTTACAAACTGTTAAATGAAGTATGTTCTATCCTCCTAGCTTGACAAATACATGTTTATAACGCTTTGCAAGGCTGGGTTCAAATTTAGAATTCTCAGGCTCCTTGGGTTTCAGCCTCGCACGTGATGGGGAGAGCTGAGCTGGCTGCAAGCATGCAGCCCCTGCCTATCCTGCCTCACCTCCCCCCTGCCCCCCGACAGCTCTCCCTGGCACAAAGGCTAGGATCTCCCCAGCACAAAGTGGACACTGTAAGTTGTGCATCCACTTGTTGCTCATCAATGCCACCCCTCAGCTCTCGCCAAGCACGCAGGTAGCATTCTCCACCCTCAGGAGCATGGGCCCAAGGCAGATGCCTGCATACGTTCTGGAAGCAAAATCAGGGCATTTGGGCAAGGAATTCCATGTTCCAAGTACTTAGAGCTTGGTCTAGAATGGAAGATGTGGGCTCTGGGTGTGCACATCCCCTTAGCCCTATGAGCTCTTGATTCCTTGGGGAGACGTATGGGTCCCTCAATGTCCAGGGCCCAGGAAAGGGGCTTCTCTTGCCAGGCCTAAGGGCAGGACTGCTCACACCAGTGTCCTGACCCCAAACTCAAGGCTCTTCTCCACCATCAGCCAGCTCCCTCTCTCGCCTTTTGTTTCATTCTCTTAAACGCCAGAAAACAAATCTGGATCGTTCTGTGAGTACTTGGAGCATGGCTCAAGACCGACACAGCCAGCTGGGGCTCGTTCAGCACCCAGACCCATTGCGTTTTAGCCATGACCACCTCATTTATTGACTTTTCAGATATTCCAGCATTCTCCATCCCCTCCGTCCTATTACTGAAGCCTACTGGGGAATATCTCTTTGACCCCACACGTCACAATGCTGTAGAGCCCATCTCTTTTTGTCACAAGGAAGCTGTGTCCTGTCACAGCCCTCAGGAACCCCCACTCCACGCTCGCACTCTGGGTGAACATAGCTGGCCAAGTTGCCTTGGGGGAGATTTGAGCCTCTCGCCCTCTGCACTGCAGATTCCGTCTGGAAGTCTGAAGACTCCAGCTGCCCCCACCAGGCCCAGGCATATCTCGAGAATGCACTAGTGTGGCCAGTGAGCAGCTTGCTCATCGCTCAGTGATTCCATGAGTGGCAGTGGGGTCTGAGGGGAACACCCCAGATCTTGGAGTCAGGAGACCTGGAATGAGTCTTGGTTCTATGCTGAATCTGCTGTCACCTTGGGCACGGCATAAACCTTTCTGGCCCTCAGTGTCCTCATCTGCAAATAAGTAAAATAACATCTCACAGGACCGTAAGATTTCAAGGAGCTCAGTTCTGCAAAGCTATGGTGGAGAAAAAAATGACAGCAAGTGCAAAGTGATTTTATTATTCTACTGTTCTGGCAGTGGACAAGCTGCTCTCCTACTGGGCTTATACAATAATGATGCTAAGCAAGAGGGTTGCACTGCACCCCTCAGGGCCTGAGGGACGGCCCTGTCTTCCTCATTCCTGCCACCTCCCTGTTCTCACCTGGAAATCACGGGAGCCCTGGGCAGGGAAGATGGACCATTCTCTTCTTTTCAAGAAAAGAGTTCAGGGAAGCAGCCCTGTGGTTCCTGACTAGGAGCACCAGACTGGGAGTCAGTGACTGTGTGCTAACCCCATCTGCACCCCACTCTCTGAGTGAGCAACTCCCTGTCTTCTCTGAGCCTCAGTTTCCTGATCTGTGAGCTGGGTAGAGTGAGTGAGAGGATATCTCATACTACACACGACTGTGGAGTCTAGCCAGTCTGTCCCAGAGTGGAGACCTGACCAGGTCCACGTAGATGTCAACCCCAGGCATGGCATCCACCCCAGACACCCTCTGTGCTCCCAGCATGCCAGGTGCTGTTAAGACTAGGAAACAGCATCGGCAGGGTCCTCGGAGGCCCAGAGAGGGTCGCAGAGCCAGCACGGAGTCCAGACTCAAGCTCAGACCTCCTCTGGCACCGTCCTCGGTTCCAGCTCTCTCTCTCTCTCTGTCTCTCATAAAGGCACAGGGCAGGAAGAGAACTCTTGCAGTGGGAGGGAGCCCTGTGATTTTGAGGTTCAAGATAGTACTGGAACATAGTTATTGTTCATTAAACGTAAGTTGAATGAATAATAATCACGTTAGCATTTATTGAGTGGTTACTCTGGGCCAGCCACTGTCCTAGGTGCTTTTTGGGTGTTAATCTTAATAGGACTCTGTGAGGTAGGTTCTCTTATGACCCTCATTTTAGAGATGAGGAAGCTGTTGCACAGAGAGACTGTGTAACTTGCCTAAGGCCCCACAGCAATTAAGTGGTGAAGCCTGGATTTGAATCTAGAAGTCTGGCTCTGGCATCGCATACTTAAGCACCAAACTATTAACAAGAAAGGACTCCAGGCCAGTGGAAGCTTTCATGGCCTCATGTCCATTGACAAGCCTTGCTTTGTCTGATAGGCTCAAGGTTTTTAAAGCTCACTGTTAAAAATCTATTTTAGAACAGATTTCTAGTATCATCTATTTTGAGGCCATTTTAAAAAAATGATTGCATCTTCATTTTCCTAAGATGTTTTTTAAAGGTTGTTCATTAATTCATACAACATACACTTATTAGGTATTTTCTGGGTGTAAGACATTGGGCTTAGAACTATGGGCACCCAAAGAAATAATGCATTTCCAGAGTGCTTGCTAGTTAATTTTCCCCCTGCTGCACGAAGCCTTGTAGGAACAAATAAAATTAATTCCCCATGTATTTTTACAGCGTAGGAAGTGATCTTGATCATTCTAGTGTGAACAGTGTCCGTTATATTCCCTTAGAGTCACTCAAATATTTCTGTTTACCCTTCTGAAGACCTCCACAGCTTTTACCAGCTGTTTTTAAACATTCCTCATGTCTTTGGGAAAAGATTATCTGATGTGGCAGGGTGAGGGGAGACAGCTGGGTCCTCAGCCCTTCAATGGGGACCCAAGTCCCTCCCGGGGGGGCCTGAGGAAGCTCCTCACTCCTCAGGAGCTTGGTAGCTGGTGAGTCATTTCTGTCCCTGAGAAAAGGCAGCTCTGGTTATAGCTATTATGAAATCCCGTTAGATAAATGAGGAACCAGGATCAGAGATGTTGAGTGACTTCCCCAAGGCCACACAGCTATGAGGGCAGAGCTGGGACTAGGATACCTAAACCAGAGCTCTTTCACTCATCAGGGTTATTCTAAAGCATCTGAGAAATGGACAAAATTGTCAGGGTAAAAGATTAAAGGAGAGCCTGGCCCCAGTACCACCACCAGTTTCTTTGGGGTACCCTTGATAAGTCATTTGTATGAATTTGGTGCTCATATTTTAGGGGATGCCCAGAATACTCTACTCCTCTCATGGGGTGAGTGTACTGAGATGGCTCAGGACACCTGGCTCATCTCCCAAATCTCCAGCCGTTCTCCACTCAATTGCACTGAAAGTTTTGGGGGAAATATTTTAATATTAAAATGAACAGGCCCGTGTTGTGGAGAATATGCTAAACGCACTGCACCCAAGGGTGACCACTATCCTGGGACTGAGAAGGCTCCCAGGATGCGAGACTTTTGAGTTTTAAAACCAGCACAATCTCGGGCAAACCAAGACGTGTTTGTCGCCTCACTGCACCCAGACCTCTGGGGTGGGGACTTATGTCTTTTCTCCATGCCCACCCGTGTCCTGCACACGTCCTAAGAGCCAGAGGGCTTTGGCAGAAGATGCTGCAGAAACCCAGGTGTGAACGTAGTGAGGAGATTTAAGACCGACTCTTGCTGTATGACCTTAGGCAAAGTCACCCGTTTGACTCCCGCAGCTCCCCCGGGCTGTATCCCTCAGATTTTCTCGATGAGATGATACCTCCCTAGGGGTCTGTGATGACCCCAACTAGCTGGGCACAAGTCAGGGGAAAAAAGTCCCACAAGAATTTCAAGGCCTTCAATCAAACTAACATGGAATTGTCCATCTGTGATCAGAAATCTCATGGAGAAGGGTTTCAGTTAAGTATTACAGTGATGGTTCTTGTGGAAGGAAGGGAAGGCTGCCCTGGCATTAATGCTACGCATGAACCTGGCTCATGAATATTCTCTCCACTCTCTGCTTTCGTTGAACAGACTGGCTTATTTTTGGAGCCAGGTCACTGCCACCCAGGCCTGGCTCTGCCAAGTTGTCTTCACTTGCTGGGCAGCTCTGTTCACAGTCTTCCAACCTGTTCATTTTTGGGATTGTGTGATTTATTTTAAAAGTAAAGAGTAGAAACACGTGCCCATATTGGGCCCCGTGGGATGGAGCATGTGAAACCTTCCGGCCGGGCTGCCTTTCCACTCTCCCCGACTGTGGTGATGCACAGACTCGCTGTTGCTCGTGCGTTTCTCTGTGGCTGCAGGAAATGGGCTGCAAGAACTGCTGCTCTGAGCTGGCATGAGATGTCAGTTCTAGAAAGGTCCTGGAGCAAAGTGGAGTCAGGAACAGGGTGTGGGTAGAGGCTTAGGCAGCAGGCTCCTGGTTCCATCCTCAAAGCTGTGTCCCCGATTCTCCAGGGACTTGGCTGTCTCTTAGCTTCACCAAGCTTGGTCTCCAAAGGAATCAAGTGATTTCTCCCTCTGTGACCCCAAAGTGGGGTCCATAGCTCCAGGCAGGGCTGAGGCTTTGGGATGGAAGACACAGGGCTGAAGGTGGGGAGGAAAGGCGGCCCCAGGCCATACTGCACACACAGAGTCCAGGCTGCCCCAGGTGGAAAGGACTAGCCTTGAGTCACACAGACGCAGGTTCAAATCCCACCTCCACTTACCAGCTGAGCAAATCATTTGGCCTTGCTCAACCCATTGTCTTCATTGTAAAACAGGGCAGGTGCAATGCACGTGATGGGTGATATGCACCTGGCAGGATCAATTATGGTAAAGATAAGAATTAGAGATAGTACTTAGGGAGTGTGGGCTCAGGGGCTGGCAGGTGATCAGTGAAGGATATGAGTAGTAATAATACTAATTTATATTTATTTGCACTTGGGCTCTGGGCTAATTGCTTTATGTGCTTTATGCATTGAATGCATTTCATGCATCTGTGTGCTTCATGCGTTTAAATAACAAAACAGTCCTTTGCAGCATTGTATTACATCACTCTCCACCTTTTACAGATGATGACCCTGAGGTTTAGTGGTGTCACACAGCGTGCCCAAGACGTGACCTCAGGTCTCTCTGGCTCCATAGCCAAGTGCCTGCACTCGAGGCCACCGCCTGTGTTTATGAAGAATAACGCATTGTGACCCAGGCAGGCCACCCCCTGAGTCACCTTCTCCCCCTCTCTCACACAGTGTGCGGGAACGCTGTCTGGAGGAACAGAAGAGGAGGCGGCAGCGCGCCACCAAGAAGATCAGCACCTTCATAGGGACCTTCCTTGTGTGCTTCGCACCCTATGTGATCACCAGGTGAGCTGGACGGGCAGCCACGAGCTCAGGGCTTTGGAAGTGATGCAGGGCCCCTATGACCTCTAGCAGTTGCCGGCCTCTCTCTTAGCCACATGTTTCTCCAGAGGATGTGTCGGGTCGGGGGACTAGAGTTGACTTGACCGATTTGTTGAGAAGGAGGGCGCGTGCTTTTTCTCTTCAGCCTTGAATTCTTTTAGATTAGACTCAGAACCAATAGAGTTGTAAAAGGCTCTCTCCAACTTGATTTCCAAATCACATCATTCTGACCTTCTATCCTGGCCTAGCCTCAGGAGGCCCTAAAGGAAAGGGAGAGAAGACAGGAAAACACCCTGCGGTGGTTGGGTTCCCAGTGCCCACTGCCTACAGTGTGGATACCCTGGTCAACAGCAGGGCCACATGCCATCTGCTCAGGGAGCAGGGAGCACGCTCTGTGCCCAGCCAGGTGGGCTCACCTGTCCTATGGCCCCAGGGACCTCCCACTGTTAGTCCAGGCATTGTGAGTTTGTCACGTTCTCTCCCAGTCCCCAACCCCTTACGCCAGTCAAGCTTGCAGTGCGCTGGCCTCAGGGCTGTGCATTCCAAAGACCAGCCTGCTCTAGCTACAGAATTTCCCCCACGCATTTTAGCTAGAGAGAAAATATATCACCCAATCAGTTTTTTGGACTAGAAGGGAAAGGAAAATCCCATAATTTTGTATCCAAAATAGCTTAACTATTTGGAAAGTTGACAATAAAAAGAGACTTTGAGTTTCTATTAGCAGGTGGATGTTGAGCTTGGGAAGTAGGATCTGTATGAGGTTTCGTGTGTGTGTGTGTGTGTGTGTGTGTGTGTGTGAGGGGGAGAGAGAGAGAAGACACAGCCCAACATCCCAGCATCCTTCAGCATCCTCAGCTGGCAGGGACCTGGAAGGGACCCCCTGCCTCACTGTCCCCAGAGTCAGCTTTCATGCCCCGGGGAGGAGGAGCCCACTGTGGCCAGGTCTCCCTGTTTCTCCTTGTCTGTTCTTATGCTGAGCTGAAGCCTGGTTCCCTGTAGCTGCAGCCATGCTCCCAATCCTGCTTTCTGTGTCGCAGGAGAACGTCTGTCCTCTCCTCCTGGGGCCCTGCCAATTTGCCGACGGTGAGCCTGGCTCCCCCACGGCAGCCCCATCTTCTCTTCTCCAGATAGCACAACCCCGGAGTGTCTTCCCCCGTTTTCCTGTGGCATACCACCTCTTCTGGGGGAGATCTAATAGACCTGAATCTCACTTGAAACGTAGGACCTAGGACTGTCTGTAGGTCTCTGGATGGGTCTAACCTGGGCAGAGCAGAGCCATCAATTCTTCCTTCTAGAACTGTCCACTAGACCTCAGCACTATTAACATTTTGTGTGGCTTCCTTCTTTGTGGTGGGGCTGTCCTGTGCATTGTAGCATGTTAGCAGCATCCCTGTCTTCTCCCGACTACCCGCCAGCAGCACCTCTCTCCCCGCCTGTCCCCCAGTTTTGCCAACTAAAAATGTCTCCAGGCATTGCCAGATGTTCCCCGGGGACCAGAATCACCCTTGGTTGAGAACCCCTGGTCTAGACCCGCCACATCCGGCCAGGACGCCGGAGCTGGCATAGATCAGGGTTTTCCAGGGGACACAAAGCCCAGGCATGGAAACAAAGAGGAGTGGACTTCCACTGCTCTCCGAGGGCAGGGCAGCAGAGTGGCCATCAGCATGGGCTCTGCAGCATGCCCACCCAGGTCAAACCCCAGCTCCACTCCTTCCCGCTGTGTGACCTTGGCCTGTGACGTCCCTCTCTGAGCCTCCAGCCTCTCATCTGTAAACCAGAAGTGAGCAGTGCCTCTCTTAGGGTTGTTGTGAGGGTTAAAGGGCATTGAGCACTGGGAGCATGTCACACAGGCCTGGTGAGGATGACATCTGTGGTCAGCACCCTCCCTCAGTACTTAGAGCACCACCCGCAGTGCTGGGCCCAGGGACGGGCTACTGCGTGAAATGGAGCGGATTAAATCCAGTGAAGAAAGAGGCATTGGGAAGGGAGGGCCTGCAGACGCTCCCTCCTCTTAGATCCCACAGTAAAGGGAGCTGTGGGTTAACGAGGTGAACTTGAACCCTCAGAGGAGAATAGGTAAAGTGGCTCCAACTTCAAACGATTGGATTTTCTCTAGCTTAATCTCATTCCCCGACAAAATTTTCCTTTTTTCTGATTAAAGCTTGGCTGTCTCTACTGGTGCCCAGAAAATAATATTTCAGTAAAATTGATGATAGTTTCACAACTCGATATGTTTCCTCCAAATGGATTTGATGCATTTTGAGTTTTAAAAACATTCACAAACTATTCATCTTTTATGGAGACCAATGGCAACTTATTGAGGAGAAAAAGTCAGCCCCAGTGAATGTCATAAATACAAAATATGGCTCTGGTGAAAACCTCCCCCTGCCCCACGGCCACCCCCCACCCAGCTCCTGCCTTGGCTTCCCTATGGATGAAGGGCCATCCTACGCAAACCTCATAAATATGCAAACTTCCCCGCATTTCATCTCAGCACACGTTTCTCCAGCACCCTCTCTGTGCAGAGCTTTATGCAGAGCCCTGCAGAGGAGGCATGGGCTTGTGAGGTCCTGCAGGAGACCCCCTCTGAGAGAGATATTGACCCTGTAGATACGTGCCTCTCCCCTGGATGGAACTTCATGTCATGTCATTCAGCAGGGACAGGGTCCAAGGGTTCTGAGGCAGGAATAAACTCTCCTGGCTGGTGCTTCCTGGACCAGGCTTGTGAAGTGGCTTGGCTCTGCAGGGGTGGGCAATCCGAGTAGAAGGGACAGCATGAGCCAAGTCTAGAGCCCTGCGAGGGAGGCCCCAGCCACAGGTCCCTTGGAGCACTTGAACGTGGCCTGTCAGAACTGAGATGTGCTCTAGGTATACAATGCACACTGGGTTTCCAAGACTGAGCATGACAAAAGATACACATGTAATTCATGCTTTTATAACAATTGCACAGTGAAGTGGTAATATCTTGGATGTATTGGGTTAAATAAAATATACAGTTAAATTAATTTCACCTGTTTATTTTCCCACCTGTGGCTTGCCTGCTCCTGTTGGGCAGTGCTAGTCTGCGGTCAGGGAAGTCTGGGTGTGAGGTGTGCCGACGCCCTGGCTCCCAGCTCTCTCTTTCCCTTGACCTTCAGCCGCTCATGTCATCCTTCACTGACCAGGAACCCACTGGGATCCCCCTTCCCGCAGCTCTACGAGAGTTCTCAGAACTTCTTCCCTCCCTTCCTTCCCTGCCCAGTGTCCCTCTCAGTATCAGAGTTTACCCGGGAGCAGATACGGAGCAGCCAAATCAGTGTGTTCTTCCGCGAAGTCAGGTGTGTTGAGGCAGGGGGCCTTGGAGGGCCTGAATGGGGGACATCAGACCCCAGTACAGGGTGGCAGGGAGGGGAGTTTGTGGCAGGCAGATCCTCGTGGTTAGTCCCCCTGAAATTACAACCCTCTTAGAACTACCTCCGGCTGTCCACACCCCTGCCCCAACACCCCTTCCATGATTGAGGGAGAAGAGATTCTGAGGAGGTGCCTAATCTTTATGGTAGCTGGGAGCCCCAGAGAGGCTCACCCCAGGGACACAAGCACGTGTGAACTCGCTCATCGCACGCAGGGGGCCCTCTGGGCTCCAGGTATGTGCTGGGCGTGGCCAAGATCCCATCAGAGCTACACTTCCACTGCCGGGGCATCAAAGCTGCCAAACTGGGGGTGGGGAGAACAGGATTTGCTCTGACACTTATCTCCAAGGAGCCTGACCCAAACTCTCCCATCTTACTCTGAGTCAGGGCTGAGAACCACACATTGATTGCAGGGAGAAATCAGCCTCTGGTAAGGAATACATAAAATAATCCATGCAAGTCATTCAGCACAGTCTATCTTACTATCACCAATACTGGAATCGGGACCACTAACACTTCTGGTGGCGATTGACTCTTCTGCTGTTCTTCTCAAGCTGGTTTCCGACCATAGACACGACCACCCCAGTCTCAGGTGAAGCTGAAGACAGACTATGCTCTGGAAATGTAGTTGAGGATTTAATTTCTTATAGGAAATGATTTCTTATAGAGAACCTAGACCTGTGGGTTTTGGAAGCAGAAGGTTCCTTAGCAATCATCTCATCCAGGGAGGGTAAGCTGGTTGTACCTTGCAGGCCAACTGGAATCCACTGCCAGTGGCTAGCCAGAGCACGTATTGAGAGGATTCTGAAGCCAGGCTGGGATTAGTGGGAAGGTGCCCTGAATCACTGGGATGACTCCCCCGCCCAAGGAGATGAGACACATGCTGTATGGTTTTTAATTCCCAATCTGGTGCAGTGCTTTGCCAACTGGGCTTCACATTAGCATCACCTGGAGAGCTTTAAACCCAAAACCATACCTGGACCTCACATTTGACCAGTTAAATTAGACTCTCCAGGTGTGGGGCCTGGCATTTGTGGTTTTAAAATCTTCCAGGGGATTCTAATCGTGAGTGGTGGTGTGAACCACGGCTCCAGTGCACATCCACACACCCATTTTACTGATGAAGAAACTGAGGACTGGATTGAGGGGGCAGTTGAATTGCCCAGAGTCACACACTGAGTTAGTGGTGGGTCTGGGCCTCCAACCTCAGTGGGCTCTCTACTGGCTCTTCAAGCTCTCAGAAAGGTCCAGTAGGTCTTTGCAGAACCCAACCCTCCCCTGCATTCCTGCTCAGGTCGGTGACTGTGGCATTAAAGTGCCTGGCACACAGAGATTGCCCCTGACCGCCTTCCTCAGGACCTCCTTACCCTCTAAGGGTAGATCACCAAGGCTTGCTGTATGACCATGTTGTGTTAGGGTCCTCCCGAGAAACAAACCCATAGGAGAGAGAGAGAGAGAGAGAGAGAAAGAGGCTGAGAAGTCCCACGATCTACCATCCACAAGCTGGAGACCCAGGAAAGCTGGTGGTGTAACTCAGTTTGAATCTGAAGGCCAGAGAACGGGGGAGCTGATGGT